CCGGCCTGTTCCTGCCACTCGCACCAAGCCTACGGTGCGCGTCGCCAGCCCGGCCCGGCCTGTTCCTGCCACTCGCACCAAGCCTACGGTGCGCGTCGCCAGCCCGGCCCGGCCTGTTCCTGCCACTCGCACCAAGCCTACGGTGCGCGTCGCCAGCCCGGCCCGGCCTGTTCCTGCCACTCGCACCAAGCCAGGGGTGCGAGTCGTCAGCCCGGTAAGGCCCGTTGCTGCTCCACGCACCAAGCCAGGGAGGCGCATCGTCAGCCCGGTCCGGCCCGTTCCTGCTCCACGCACCAAGCCAGGGGTGCGCATCGTCAGCCCGGTCCGGCCCGTAGCTGCTCCACGCACCAAGCCAGGGGTGCGCATCGTCAGCCCGGTCCGGCCCGTTCCTGCTCCACACACCAAGCCAGGGGTGCGCATCGTCAGCCCGGTCCGGCCCGTTGCTGCTCCACGCACCAAGCCAGGGGTGCGCATCGTCAGCCCTGTCCGGCCCGTTCCTGCTCCACGCACCAAGCCAGGGGTGTGCGTCGTCAGTCCGGCACAACCCGTGCCTGGGTCACCGGTGCCTGGTCAGGTACCGGTCAGCTGCTCCACACCGGAGCTTAAGCAATCCGCTCCTACGATGTCCAGTCCAGCTCCAGCCAGCGGGGCCAGACCGGACCAGGGGCGCTACGGGGGGATTATTGGAGGGTGGTGGGCAAGCCCGGAGCCGGAACCGCCTCCGAGGAGGAATGCCCACCCAGCCCTCCCCTGTTTGGTTTATGTTGAGGCGCGGTCGCGGTCCGCGCCTTTAGGGGGGGGTACTGTCACACCCTGGCTCTGGGGACTCTATATGTTGAGCCAGGGTGTGTAGATTCTATGTGTTTTTGTTCTATGTTCACTGTCTAGTATTGTATTTCTATGTTGGCCAGAGTCGTTCCCAATCAGAGGCAACGAGTGTCAGCTGTTGCTGGTTGTCTCTGATTGGGAGCCATATTTGGACAGGCTGTGTTCCCACAGGTGTTGTGGGATCTTGTTCCTTTTGGTTTGTTCCGTGTTGGTTGTTTAACCTAGGACGTCACGTTGTTCGTTTATTGTTTTGTTCTTGTTATCACTAAAGATAATAAAGTATGTTCGCTCATCACGCTGCGCCTTGGTCTACTTCGTTCAACGATCGTGACAGATACAATTGTAGACCTGCACAAGGCTGGGATGGGCTACAGGACAATAGGCAAGCAGCTTGGTGAGAAGGCAACAACTGTTGGCGCAATTATTAGAAAATGGAAGAAGTTCAAGATGACGGTCAATCACCCTCGGTCTGGGGCTCCATGCAATATCTCACCTCGTGGGGCATCAATGATCATGAGGAAGGTGAGTGATCAGCCCAGAACTACACGGCAGGACCTGGTCAATGACCTGAAGAGAGCTGGGACCACAGTCTCAAAGAAAAACCATTAGTAACACACTACGCCGTCATGGATTAAAATCCTGCAGAGCACGCAAGGTCCCCCTGCTCAAGCCAGCGCATGTCCAGACCCGTCTGAAGTTTGCCAATGACCATCTGGATGATCCAGAGGAGGAATGGGAGAAGGTCATGTGGTCTGATGAGACAAAAATAGAGCTTTTTGGTCTAAACTCCACTCGCCTTGTTTGGAGGAAGAAGAAGGATGAGTATAACCCCAAGAACACCATCCCAACCATGAAGCATGGAGGTGGAAACATCATTCTTTGGGATGCTTTTCTGCAAAGGGGACAGGACGACTGCACCGTATTGAGGGGAGGATGGATGGGGCCATGTATCGCGAGATCTTGGCCAACAACCTCCTTCCCTCAGTAAGAGCATTGAAGATGGGTCGTGGCTGGGTCTTCCAACGACCCGAAACACACAGCCAGGGCAACTAAGGAGTGGCTCCGTAAGAAGCATCTCAAGGTCCTGGAGTGGCCTAGCCAGTCTCCAGACCTGAACCCAATAGAAAATCTTTGGAGGGAGCTGAAAGTCCGTATTGCCCAGCGACAGCCCCGAAACCTGAAGGATCTGGAGAAATACCTGCTGCAGTGTGTGCAAACCTGGTCAAGACCTACAGGAAACGTATGATCTCTGTAATTGCAAACAAAGGTTTCTGTACCAAATATTAAGTTCTGCTTTTCTGATGTATCAAATACTTATGTCATGCAATAAAATGCAAATTAATTACTTAAAAATCATACAATGTGATTTTCTGGATTTTTGTTTTAGATTCCGTCTCTCACAGTTTAAGTGTACCTATGATAAAAATTACAGACCTCTACATGCTTTGTAAGTAGGAAAACCTGCAAAATCGGCAGTGTATCAAATACTTGTTCTCCCCACTGTATATGTGCTTTCTTGAGCAGGGGGACCTTGTGGGCGCTGCAGGATTTCAGTCATTCACAGCGTAGTGTGTTACCAAAATGTTTTCTTGGTGACTATGGTCCCAGCTGCCTTGAGATCATTGACAAGATCCTCCCGTGTAGTTCTGGGCTGATTCCTCACCATTCTCATGATCAATGCAACTCCACGAGGTGAGATCTTGCATGGCGCCCCAGGCAGAGGGAGATTGACAGTTATTTTGTGTTTCTTCCATTTGCGAATAATCGCACCAACTGTTGTCACCTTCTCACCAAGCTGCTTGGTGATGGTCTTGTAGCCCATTCCAGCCTTGTGTAGGTCTACAATCTTGTCCCTGACATCCTTGGAGAGCTCTTTGGTCTTGTTCATGGTGGAGAGTTTGGAATCTGATTGATTGATTGCTTCTGTGGACAGGTGTCTTTTATACAGGTAACAAACTGAGATTAGGAGCACTCGTGTGTGCTCCTAATCTCAGCTTGTTACCTGTATAAAAGACACCTGGGAGCCAGAAATCTTTCTGATTGAGAGGGGGTCAAATACTTATTTCCCTAATTAAAATGCAAATCAATTTATAAACATTTTTGACATGCGTTTTTCTGGATTTTTTTGTTGTTATTCTGTCTCTCACTGTTCAAATAAACCTACTATTAAAATTATAGACTGATCATTTCTTTGTCAGTGGGCAAACGTACAAAATCAGCAGGGGATCAAATACTTTTTTCCCTCACTGTATGGGAAGTATTTATTATTCGGTGTGTTGAAATGTTCAGAGCGTTGTAGATAGAAATGTATTAAATAGAGTTCACATGATTCCTGGACTCTATTCTACTTGACAGACAGTCATATCTGTTCTACACAATACAAATCTATGGGAACGTTCTGTAATGTTGCACCTCCTGAACAGTATGAATGTTGCTCCCTTCACTGCATAGCACCAGACAAGAAGCATCTATTCTAAACCAAACAGAATGGAATGAATGGAATGGCTGGAACATGATGGATGTCTTTATAAGTTCACAGAGAGGTGAACAGAGCAAACATTTTGTTCAGAAAACCTCTACGTTTAAACCCTCAACATCTCTGGGTTGTTGCAAGAATTATGTTAGAGATCAGTGGTGGAAAAAGTACTCAATTGTCATACTTGAGTAAAAGTAAAAAGTAAAGTAAATACTATACATCAAATTCCTTATATTACGCAATCCAGATAGCATGATTTGAATGTATTTATTGACATCCAGGGGCATACTCCAACACTCAGACATCACAAACGCAGTATTAGTGTTTAGTTAGTGGTCAGAGGCAGTAGGAATGAAAACACGCTTTGCCTGAGCATTTGAAATGTAACGAGTACTTTTGGGTGTCGGGACATTTTGGGAGTAATAAGTACATATTTTCTTTAGGACTATACATTTTAAATGTAAGTAATTTAGCAGATGCTGTTATCTAGAGCGACAGTAATTTACATTTTACATTTTAGCAGACACTCTTATCCAGAGCGACTTACAGTTAGTGAGTGCATACATTTTCCATACTGGCCCCCCATGGGAATCGAACCCACAACCCTGGCGTTGCAAGCGCCATGCTCTACCAACTGAGCTACAGGAGTAGTGAGTGCATACATTTTCGTACTGGTCCCCCGTGGGAATCAAACCCCCAACCATGCTCTACCAACTGAGCCACACGGGACCAATGTAATGTAGTGTAATAAACGTTTTCCAAAATATAAATAGTAAAGTACAGATACCCAGTAGTACTTCAAAGTAGTTTTACTTAGTTAGTTAGTTTTACTTAGTTACACCCCTGTTAGAGATAATGGGAATATGTTTTTTTACCTCAAGTTTTTATTTATTTGATCATATCAAAACAAATTCATGTTTCCAAGCATTAGGAGAATGCTTTTCTCACCAAATTGTGTTGGTGTTTTGAAGCTAACATGGACTGATTTGATGCTCTCCCAATAGTAATATAGTTTGCAGCCATGTAAAAATCTCAATGGGTGCCTTATAGTTTATGGTGAGATTGATTTCCCACAATATTTTAGATATATTTTCACGAAACATGTGAACCTGTGCTTTTGGTGTATTAATTAGTAATGTGTGTATTTTCGTTTTTTGAATTATCAGCCATTATGGGTCTGCCTTTTATTAAAACATTTCCAATTGATGTCTGTTGGCAAAAAATTTTTGTGAAAAAGCATTACTTTGTTCTTATTTCTACTCATACTGCGGTATAGTCCCGTGTAGCTTAGTTGATAGAGCATGGCGCTTGCAACGCCAGGGTTGTGGGTTCGATTCCCACGGGGGACTAGTATGAAACAATTAATTTAAAAAATGTATGCGCTCACTAACTGTTAATCGCTCTGGATAAGAGCGTCTACGTAAATTAATAGTTTTATTTAATTTGGAAATGGGGCCATTTACTAAATGTTTGATACATGTTTTTATTGACTCTTGAAAGTAATTTTATTTGCATTAAAATCACTGTTTGTCTATACTTTTAAATAAACTTATTGAAAAGGTTCTGTGAAAAAAAGACTTTCTTCCCACATCTGCAATATCTGGTTTGTCCAATATTTTTTTTGTCCTTTGAGTTACTTGAGATTTGGAGCTCATCTCGCGACATTTTGTTGTTGGCGCACACTAAAATGGGCGCGCCGGGAGCCTGAACGCAAATGGAGTAGCTTGGAACGCTTTCTCAACAAACTCGTTCCGTCCCAAAACGTGCATCATTTCAAGATTTATGCATCTCGCTCACAACGAACTGGCTAGATAGAGGTTACAGCATTTTCTTCAACTAGTTAGCGAACTTACTTTAGTTGCACGAATCTAGCTGCTGCCACCTTTGGCCAAGAAAAAGGAGAAGTCACAACTTGCAGTTTGAGGGTTGTTCTGCGGGAATGTCGCAGAAAGAAAGACCTAAGTTTTATCGGCAGGAGGTGACCAAGACGATTTGGGAGGTACCAGAACGCTACCAGACCTTGTCTCCAGTCGGGTTCGGGGCCTACGGATCAGTTTGGTAAATCACGCTTTTGTACTATTATGTCTCCGCAGAGAGCTAGCCAATGTAGCCATTAATTTCAATAAGGACTTCATATATGCTAAAGTTAGCTTTCCGGCTAGTGTATTCAGAATAGAACGCTGCCCCGCCGTAAGGCCCATTCTCGAACTGTGCCAGTGAGAGCGAGCGAACATGCGAACCCTTGCCCTAACCAGTCTGTCCTCGCACAATCGAATAACATTAGCTGGACTCACCATTCGCTAAAATGTTGCCATATGAAATGCTGCAATGTCCCAGCTACAAAGTTTGCGAGTTACGTGCACGATTGAAATGTAGCCAGGTACTTTTATAGCTTATCCGAATAGCAAAATTCAATTTAAACGTATTAAAGCTATTAAAATATTATGCAAATTGATAGCCACAAAGAGAGTTGGGAAGTAGTCCGTGTGGTCGTAAGGGTTATTGGTTTCGTGTACTTTCTGTTAGGTTATTTTATGCTTTATCTAGTGGGTTGGGTAACGGATGCATTTCGGACCCACAGTTTACAGTTCTTTAATGGAACTGTCGCAGCCGAAGTAGCAAGTTACATTTGTTGTTAAACCTCCTCAGAGTGATGACATGATGATGTTATGATGACTCATCGGCCCAGAATAGGACAAATTACTCTAACCAGGATACATGGCTCACTGGTTTACTGTCTGGACTTGTTCCTTAGATGTTGAAGAAAGGGGATAGGGTCTGTCTTGACTTGCTCCGTAGTTGAGGAAACAAGAGAGAGGGTGTGTGTGTGTCTATTTGAAGGACATTAACTTCAAGTTATTAACCTCTTGCCCTTCTATGTTTTACCATTTGAATCCACTTTTATTGAAGTACTTGCCTGGTCCCAGATCGGTTTGAGCTTTTGCCTACTCCATTGTCATGTTAGCCTAGTTTTTTTTCTTCTCTTCACCAATACAGGCTCCTGTAATACTTCTGCTGCTAGGAAACAACAGGACAGGATAATCCTTCTAGGATCATATATTCAGAGGTTTCCTTTACCTTTAGTTAATGAAAATGGTCCTAGTAGTACCCTGTATTACCCTAGTTGTACCCTGTATTACCTATTACCTGCTATGTTATTAGTATCATCTGCTGGGTTGGTGTGTGAGTAAACATCTAGTTGTTGTTGTGTTCCCCATAAAGGGCAGCAACTGCTGTGCTGCTGCCAGGCAGAAGGAGGATTTGTTGATGGTGGGATTACTGTTGGGTTAAAAAAGGGAACTGGAAATCAGACATTTTTATACTACATAAAACATTTGCTTTATATTCAGAAGGACTACCTCGTTTGTGTGCACCCCAGCTCACATACGTACAACTTTATCTAAATGTTTATGTTTGGTGTGGCCCGGGGACTCCTGACCTCCTTGGTCTTGCAACTATTTCATCACAAACAATTACTCTGCTCCGTACTGTGAGTGTGTACAACAGTTTCTGCTCTCTTGCCAACTCCCTATGGAATTGTCAATGACAGCAATGGAGTTGGCAAGAGGGTCTAAACAGATCCAGGCTGGCAGCTGACTTCTCATGACTGTTATTTTATTTTACTTCTGCTCTTTTTTTTCTCAACACTTTTTTTTGTTGTTGTTTTATTTTTTACTTTTTTTGTTAAAAATAAATGCACTGTTGGTTAAGGGCTGTAAGTAAGCATTTCACTGTGATGTCTGCACCTGTTGTATTCGGCGCATGTGACCAATAAAATTTGATTTGATTTTGATTTGTGGTTAGGAAAGATTCAAAGAGTGAGGAAGTGAGCTGGAGACTTCCCTCCCCTAGTCTCAGTCAGCCAGGGTGAATCTCCAAAGTATTATCCTCAATTCCTCAGGTCCTCCCTCTCCTTGCCATCTTCTCAAGACGTCAGAGGAAGAGAGGAGAGCATTGTTTCAAGTTTCTTAATGTCACATGCACAAGTACAGTGAAATGCCTTTCTTGCAAACTCAAAACCCAACAATGCAGTATTACTAGACAAAAGCACACACGAAATAAGAATAAGAGATATGAAATACATGATTAAGTAAGTATACTATATACAGGAAATATTTACAAAGTCAGTTCCAATACCATATTTACATGTGCAGGGATACTGGAGTGATGGAGGTAGATATGTATAGGGGTCAGGTGACTAGGCAACAGGATATAAGATAAACAGAGTAGCAGCAGCTTGCATGTGAGTGGGTGTGTGCGGGTGTGTAGAGTCAGTATAAATGTATGTGCATATTATGTGTGAGTGAGAAAATGATGGAGTGAGTGTTTGTGTGTGTTGGAGTGACAGTGTGTGTTGGAGTGACAGTGTGTGAGTTTGTAGGGCCCTGTGAGTGTTTGTATTTATTTGTATTTTTTAATTTTACCTTTTTTTAACTAGGCAAGTCAGTTAAGAACAAATTCTTATTTACAATGACGGCCTACACCGTGCATAGAGACAGGTCGATAAAGATACAAGGTAAACTCGGTCCGTGTAGCTATTCTGTTAGCTATTTATCAGTCGTATTGCTTGGGGATAGGAGCTGTTCAAGAGCCTGTTGGTGTCAGACTTGATTCACCGGTACCTCTTGCCGTGCGGCAGCAGAGAAAATAGTCTATGGCTTGGGTGGTTGGGGTCTTTGACGATTTTCCGGGCATTCTTTTCACGCCGCCTGGATGGCAGGGAGCTCGGCCCCAGTCATGTACTGGGCTGTCCTGATATAGAGGTCCTGGATGGCAGGGAGCTCGGCCCCAGTGATGTACTGGGCTGTCCGCACAAGCCTCTGTAGCGCCATGCGATCCAGGGCGGTGCTATTGCCATACCAAGCAGTGATGCAGCCAGTCATTGGTGGAGAAGATCCAAGGTGTTTGTCTCCTCCAATGCTTTCCTCACTTCCCTCTAACGTTTTCAGAAGGCAGCTCCTCTTCCCCTAGCTTGTCAGCCAGACAACACGCCATTGAAAAGTTGTAGGGAGTATTGGTTCCATTTGGGAACCAGCCTCAGTCTGCTGAGAGATGACATTTACTTTTCCTCCTCACTTCAGCAGCTCTTGCATCACTTCATCTGGTTTCATGAAAATATCAGCCCCTTAGTGGGCCCATTTTAAAATGGGTGTTTTTCCTGTGTCTTCTTGGAAAATGACAGCCTGGCTGCAGCAACCTGCTTCAGGCTGACGCCTATTTGTGAAGCCTACAATTCAGATAGCCTACTGTTTGTAAAAATCGTGTGCGTAACATTTTGTCACAACACTGATTTCTATTTGATCTGTACTTTTAACTATCCGTAACAGTACTTGTATTGCAGAAAAATGGGTGCAGCTCTGTTAGATAATGTTGACTAATATCCACCTCTTGTAGTTGAAATAAACTAATTAATTTTTGTCTTCTCATCCAGCTCGTCGTACGATCAGAAGACAGGTCTGAAGATCGCTGTGAAGAAGCTCTCCCGGCCTTTCCAGTCCATTATCCACGCCAAGAGAACCTACAGAGAGCTGCGGCTGCTCAAGCACATGAAACATGAGAATGTGAGTTCTGTCTGTCTTAAAAGCTCCACAACTGATAATAGTAACAGGTAGTACTACTGATAATAGTAACAGGTAGTACTACTGATAATAGTAACAGGTACCCCAGATTGGGAGACATGGAAGTACTACTGTCTCTGTCTGTCTCTCTCTTGTCTCTCTCTCTTGTCTGTCTCTCTCTCTCTTGTCTGTCTGTCTGTCTCTCTCTCTTGTCTGTCTCTCTCTCTTGTCTGTCTCTCTCTCTCTCGTCTGTCTCTCTCTCTCGTCTGTCTCTCTCTCTCGTCTGTCTCTCTCTCTCGTCTGTCTCTCTCGTCTGTCTCTCTCGTCTGTCTCTCTCGTCTGTCTCTCTCGTCTGTCTCTCTCGTCTGTCTGTCTCTCTCTCGTCTGTCGCTCTCTCTTGTCTGTCTGTCTCTCTCTCGTGTGTCTCTCTCTCTCTCTTGTGTGTGTCTCTCTCTCTCTCGTCTGTCTCTCTCTCGTCTGTCTCTCTCTCTTCTGTCTCTCTCTCTTGTCTGTCTCTCTCTCTCTTGTCTGTCTCTCTCTCTCTTGTCTGTCTCTCTCTCTCTCTTGTCTGTCTCTCTCTCTCTCTTGTCTGTCTCTCTCTCTCTCTCTTGTCTGTCTCTCTCTCTCTTGTCTGTCTCTCTCGTCTCTCTCTCTCGTCTGTCTGTCTCTCTCTCTCGTCTGTCTCTCTCTCTCGTCTGTCTGTCTCTCTCTGTCTGTCGCTCGCTCTATGTCTCTCTTTTAAATGCAGCAGAACTATGTTGGCTACATTAATCATATTACTGAATACAACTGTGCTGCTGACTGAGATATCAACTGTAGAAAAATGTTGGTGGAAGTATTCCACTGTTCTAGTTCCAATGCTCCTCTCTGCTGAAACCAACTTCTTGTGCAGTCATGAAGTCATTGGGAGAGCGGATACAATCTCTCGTTCCCTGTTGCATTATTAACTTGACCATTGGCCTTTCTGTATTTCAGGTGATCGGTCTTCTAGATGTTTTCACACCTGCTACTAGTCTGGAGGAGTTCAATGACGTGTGAGTTGAGTTAACTGTTAGGCCTAACGTTAGCTATTTTATAATAATATAATATGCCATTTAGCAGACGCTTTTATCCAAAGTGACTTACAGTCATGTGTGCATACATTTTTACGTATGGGTGTTCCCGGGGATCGAACCCACTACCCTGGCGTTACAAGCGCCATGCTCTACCAATTGATCTACAGAGGACAACGTATTTTCTTTATATACTGAATGTCTCTTTATTACCCCTTCATATTTTTCCCTCGTCCAATACCTATTGACAGTGGATCATTCACTCAGCCAATGCCTATCGACAGTGGATCTTCAGACACCAACAGTGGATCATTGCCTCACTTCAGACACTAACAGTAGCCTTCAGTGTCTTTCTTTTCCCAGCAGCAGAGATCAAACAAAGCCTGCTCTGCCTGGGAAACTCCTGGGGTACCTGTTACTATTATCAGTAGTAGTACTACCTGTTACTATTATCAGTAGTAGTACTACCTGTTACTATTATCAGTAGTAGTACTACCTGTTACTATTATCAGTAGTACTTCCGTATCTCCCAATCTGGGGAACTGGTTACTATTATCAGTAGTAGTACCCATACGTAAAAATGTATGCACACATGACTGTAAGTCGCTTTGGATAAAAGCGTCCGCTAAATGGCTTATTATTATTATTATTATTATTATTATTATTATGACTTGTTACTATTATCAGTAGTACTACCTGTTACTATTATCAGTAGTACTACCGTATCTCCCAATCTGGGGTACCTGTTACTATTATCAGTAGTAGTACTACCTGTTACTATTATCAGTAGTAGTACTACCTGTTACTATTATCAGTAGTAGTACTACCTGTTACTATTATCAGTAGTAGTACTACCTGTTACTATTATCAGTAGTAGTACTACCTGTTACTATTATCAGTAGTAGTACCTGTTACCAATGTTCCCTCTAAGCTGCGTGAGTGCTCGGGCGCCACTATCAACGTTTCCCTTTAGTGTGGCAATTGTGATCGTATCAATGCAATATTAGCCACTTTCAATGCAGCAAACCGAAACAAAACGAACTATGCAATATATTGTTTTGTAGGCAGAACTCCTCGGAGTAGGATTATATTGCACACGACTCAGCCTGTACTCTACACATACCGGTGCGGCATAACCAATCAGAGCCATCAGACCATTGCCATATATGGATCTGTGCCATTTACTTTGAACTGGACTGTGTTTACAGCATGAGTGGTCGTGAGTAGATGCACTTGTTTTGGGATCAAAGCAAGAGCTGCATGTAGCCACGTGTACACATTTTGTTCATATCCTTTGCTATTTTTTTATTTTTATTATTTTTTATTTATTTTTGTCATTTAGCAGACGCTCTTATCCAGAGCGACTTACAGTTAGTGAGTGCATACATTATTTTTTTATTTTTCATACTGGCCCCCCGTGGGAATCAAACCCACAACCCTGGCGTTCCAAACGCCATGCTCTACCAACTGAGCTACATCCCTGCCGGCCATTCCCTCCCCTACCCTGGACAACGCTTGGCCAATTGTGCGCCGCCCCATGGGTCTCCCGGTCGCGGCCGGCTACGACAGAGCCTGGATTCGAACCAGGATTTCTAGTGGCACAGCTAGCACTGCGATGCAGTGCCTTAGACCACTGCGCCACTCGGGAGGTCAGTTAGTATGTTATTAGCCCAGTTATAGATAATTTGTAGTCAGAAATAGGGGAGTGATTACTTCCTACAAGAGCACAAAACGTGTACATTTCTAGACATTAGTGTGTGACTATTATCAGTAGCAGTACAACCTGTGACTATTATCAGTAGCAGTACAACCTGTGACTATTATCAGTAGCAGTACAACCTGTGACTATTATCAGTAGCAGTACAACCTGTGACTATTATCAGTAGCAGTACAACCTGTGACTATTATCAGTAGCAGTACAACCTGTGACTATTATCAGTAGCAGTACAACCTGTGACTATTATCAGTAGCAGTACAACCTGTGACTATTATCAGTACAACCTGTGACTATTATCAGTAGCAGTACAACCTGTGACTATTATCAGTAGCAGTACAACCTGTGACTATTATCAGTAGCAGTACAAACCTGTGACTATTATCAGTAGCAGTACAACCTGTGACTATTATCAGTAGCAGTACAACCTGTGACTATTATCAGTAGCAGTACAACCTGTGACTATTATCAGTAGCAGTACAACCTGTGACTATTATCAGTAGCAGTACAACCTGTGACTATTATCAGTAGCAGTACAACCTGTGACTATTATCAGTAGCAGTACAACCTGTGACTATTATCAGTAGCAGTACAACCTGTGACTATTATCAGTAGCAGTACAACCTGTGACTATTATCAGTAGCAGTACAACCTGTGACTATTATCAGTAGCAGTACAACCTGTGACTATTATCAGTAGCAGTACAACCTGTGACTATTATCAGTAGCAGTACAACCTGTGACTATTATCAGTAGCAGTACAACCTGTGACTATCTCCCTTCCTAACCTTGGTAATAGTTACTCACTGGCTGCCTTGGCTTCAGTCAGTTACGGTTTGTTGATGTTGAAAGTCAGAAAGAAGAGGAAGTGGACAGATTGTTCAGCTAGCTGCCTTCTCCCTCTGGTGTGTGTGGGGGTGCCTGGCTGAGAGAGAGTGTCGACACACAAGCCTGGGCCTGCTGCTGTAGGAGAATGTGCAGAAAAAACCCTGTTCCTACTCTCTAGAAGCCTCCTGAGTGCCTGAGTCTGTTAGTGCTATTTGCCATGTTTGTCTTGACTTTGACAGCAATGAAGAGCACAAACTGACCTGGGACCAGGCTAGCACTCTGGCAGCTCCACCACCGACAGGCAGGGGTAACTGAAGTGTGCTCTCAGCCTCTCAGATGCCCCCCTGTTCCAGGTAGATGAACACCCTGTACCACAGTGTAGTGGGGGGGAGGGGGGGGGTCACATGCCACATGCCACACAGAGAGAGGGAGGGTAGAGAAGGAGAGAGAGGGGTCTGGAGAGAGGGAAAAAGATATGTGAAACAGCTGCAGTGGTAGAAGCTGCTCTCTCACACAGAATGATCAAAAGGGAATCAAGGCTATTTTCAGCTTATGCAAATCATCTGTGTTCAACATATGCCTGCAGGACAGAGGAGCAAAGGGAGGGGTTTTCAAACTGCTGTACAGGAAAAATATGGGATATGTTATGCAGAGGTGCTGTATCTGTGGTTCGCCCAAACAGCTCCTAAAATATGTGACTCACAAAACAGTTCATAGCTCCTCTACCCCTGAGAGGGAGGGAGGGAGGGAGAGCATGGATCAACAGGGATGGGGGCTCAGTATTTATATACCTCATTTATACCCCTTCCTCTCTCCCTCTCTCTGATTGAAACCTCCATGTGCTCCTCCTGTATGTTTTGGCTCCTCTTTCTCCTCCCCTTCAGAAGTACTTTACCACTGTTTGGGCTTGTTTCATCCACTATGGGATTAGATTTGAATTACAAAGATAAGTGGGTTTAATGGACCTGAATTTTGTTTAATGACATTCTATTCGTGGAAGGCTCGCCTTGCTGTGGCTTCTAGAGAGAAGGAATGTGTGTGTGGGGAGCAGCCGCTCAACCGGTTTCAGCTGGCAAAAACAGACACTGTTGCCTTACAATCAAAGTGTTATTGACAACTTGTAAGCTATATTTCGTCAACAAATATTTGTTGTGAAAACAAATACATTTGCCCAACAAGCACGTGTTTGTCTCAAATACATTGTTACAGTTGTTGGTTAGCTAGCTAGCAAATTTGAGACATATTTGTATTGACATCACATCAGTCAAAACAAGAGATTTTACATGACATTTTAGTCATTTAGCAGACGCTCTTATCCAGAGCGACTTACAGTTAGTGAGTGCATACATTTTTCATACTGATGGTATCAAGAACAAGATAGAACTAGCTGAAACAAGCCATCTACGATTCACACCACATCACTTTCTTGTCATTGTTGCCTTCTATCTGACCGTTCAGACAACACACAGCCTTTTACCTCTTTGCACGTGCATTATTGTGGGGATGTTGTCAGCCCACCCGTCTATAGAAACACATGCATGTGAATTGTGAATGTATGTGTCTATGGGTAAAACAAATATAATGAAGAGTTTTGGGAAAATGTATCCGTTTGTCTATATGGGTGGGAAACAGATGGCACGTCGTAATACAGTGGAGTTGGTGAGCGTTATGGGTTCACTGGGAACATTAACCAGACAATGAACCATTGGCCAACTACAGAAACATATGTCACACTAGTGGACTATGTAACAGTGAGAAACAGATGGTAGTCGATCTCTTAATACCACAGAGTCTCTAAACCCAGAGGTGCAACAATGCGAGACTTCTGGGAACGCTTGCGAAAATTGTAAATTGTTTTTCGAAATGTAAAGGCACAACCTAGATTGGAGCCAATGTCTTCAGTAGTTGAACATGTTATTACTCCAACCTCGTGAAAGTGACAAACTGACACCTTTTCATTTTCGTAAAAAAACTACTTTATAATCTGACGGCCAGCGCAGTTCGGCACAAGACAACCGTTAGACCCGATGACGTGTTTTTGCACGTGAGCTTAGCTAGCCAACGTTTCAATGACAGTGCCTACATGCGTGATCGGGGATTTCTATTGGAGAAGCACTTTCTACATATCTTCATACTAAACCGTCTTTGTTAATACAGTGGAGTTGTTTAGTTTGAGCTTGTGTCTTGTTGTGATTTGTAGGTACCTGGTGACCCACCTGATGGGAGCGGACCTCAACAACATAGTCAAGTGTCAGAAGCTGACAGACGACCATGTACAGTTCCTCATATACCAGATCCTCCGGGGGTTAAAGGTGAAACAACATGCCTGGAGATTTAAACATTCTTCAACTAACTGCCATTCACAGTTGTTGACCAGTGTTGTGTACATTCCCAGCAGGCAAAATTGTTGAAATGAAGTCAAATGTGTGTCATTTCAACCAGTTTTGCCTGCTGGGATGTACCTCAAAACTACAAACCTCTGAGCTAAAACGTATGATTCATGATGTTGATTTAATCTAATGCCTTTGCTCTCCTTCACCCCTCTCTCCTCAGTATATCCACTCAGCAGATATCATTCACAGAGTAAGTCTCCTCTCCTGTTTGATTCAACCCACAGTGAAACAGTCCTTCCCAGTTGACAACACTGTGTCTTGTGTTAGTTTATGGCTACTTGGTTCACTTCCACATGGCAGGTTCAGGCTTAGGCCCTCGCCCTGGCCCTGGCTCGCTCCTTAATCAAACACTATAAACCACAGAGAAAGTGAAACTGTAAACAGTACCTCTGTTTTGTACCGTGACCGAGTCAATGATTCAGAGATGCTGTTTTGAAAGAACTAATCTGATTGGTTAGAGATTGAGTCAGTCTTGCAGAAGCACTGTAGAAGTTTTGTAGGAGCACTTGTACAGATAGTGGTGGTTTGGTTTGAGAGAATCTAGACTCAATTGAGAAAGCCCATTCAGATCTGGCCTCATGTAGGTAGTCTGTAATAATATAGGAACAATAATGTCTTGTCTCCAATCGCTCTTCAGGACCTGAAACCCAGCAACCTGGCTGTGAATGAGGACTGTGAGCTGAAGGTAAGGGAGTTTATTATTGGCCCATTAATTCAAACTGGATTCATCTTGAATTGTCGGGACAGGAGTGTCAGACAGTCTGCCTGAGGGGGTAACCAAGCACACCCTGATGACATGGTGTTATTAAAAGTTCGCTGCAAGGAGAAAACAGTGTGTGACCTTTGTGTTCACTATCTTGAAGTACAACATGGTTTTGTTGTGTCTGTCCACCTCAGATTCTGGACTTTGGGTTGGCACGGCACACTGAAGATGAGATGACTGGTTACGTTGCCACTCGCTGGTACAGGGCCCCAGAGATCATGCTGAACTGGATGCATTACAACATGACAGGTACTGTAGCTAGAGATCTGAGTGGTGTAGACGGCCTGCATCTGCTCACTGTAGACATGTTTACGAGCTATCCATTTAGGCTACACGTTGTTGATGTACTTTGATCTTGGGCCAACGGTCCTGCCATGTGGATGTCATAATAGCAGGACATTGTAAATGGACATGCTGAACATAATGTTTTCCACCCTATATGTAACAGTAGATGTGTTATTCCTCTATGTAATAGTAGACGTGTTATTCCTCTATATGTAACAGTACACATTTGTATAGCACTTTGTGACATCTGATGATGTAAAAAGGGCTTTATAAATACATTTAATTCGTTTGTTAACCTCTATGTAACCGTAATGTGTTATTCCTCTGTCACAGTAGACGTGTTATTCTTCTATATGTTACGGTAGACATGTGTTATTCCTCTATATGTTACGGTAGACATGTGTTATTCCTCTATATGTTACGGTAGACATGTTATTCCTCTATATGTTACGGTAGACATGTGTTATTCCTCTATATGTTACGGTGGACATGTGTTATTCCTCTATATGTTACGGTAGACATGTGTTATTCCTCTATATGTTACGGTAGACATGTGTTATTCCTCTATGTTACGGTAGACATGTGTTATTCCTCTATATGTTACGGTGGACATGTGTTATTCTTCTATATGTTACGGTGGACATAATTATTTTCTCTATATGTTACAGTGGATATTTGGTCTGTGGGATGCATCATGGCTGAACTCCTCACTGGCAGAACGCTGTTTCCCGGTACTGACCGTATCCTTTCATTGCCCTAACCTCAGTTACCCTACTATGGGTCTAATATGAGTACCTAAGCTGAAACGTCCTCTACTTTGTGAGTATGCCTGACCTACCCGTTTTCGTGACTAACCTTCGAGTGGTTGGTGGTGAGATTCCCACACAATATGTCCTTAGTGAATCACATCGGATAAGACCGGAGTACACAAAGAATCTTGCTGCTGGTGATTGATTGACATGATGCTAACAGCTTTTTGCAGGTCCAGACAGTAGCAGAAGATGACTGACCGTGTGTGACCTAAAATAATGTGTTCTAAGCTTCAATGTTCCTAACCTGTTGTTCTGCAAAACTAACCCCACTATGGTGCCTCGATGCCTCTTCAACTAACCCCACTATGTTGCCTCTTGACGTTTCTTCAACTAACCCCACTATGGTGTTTCTTCAACTAACCCCACTACGGTGCCTCAATGTTTCTTCTCTTGCGATCAGCTCTGCTGTCTCTCTCCCTACAGCATGCCATGAGGCTGACTTGCACTGTAGAAGAGCTCATAGTTTGTCAGTTTCTGTAGCCACGCTCATTTCTACTTCTCCACACTTGGTCTCTAAAACTCTGTTTTGTCAGGCTTCCTGGCCTCCTTCAATTGTCTGTCAGATGCACACTGCCTCCTCTTCTGTAACACGTGTATAATAGTATGCTGGTCTGTATGAGAATGTTTTGATCTGGATCCGCTGAATGAGTCTGGCACTGATCTTTGTATTGCCTTGCCTGTCTGTCAGTGTTTTTAGAGGTACTAACAGCAAGGCGTTTAAAGATGCATTCCCTGCGGTGTGTTTACCCATTACATGACCTAGTTCTTTTCCAGCACGATGACACCTAACAATTCCAATTGGGGCCCTGTGTTTTGCGCAATCATGTGTCATAGCAAGATTTTAAAGATTTAAATAAAGGTTAAAATCCAAGTATGTTACATGATTGCGCAAAACGCAGAGCCCTACATATAATATAGGGTCATGTTGTTGATTTTCAACCGTTCACAGAGTAGCTGCGATGTCAATGGAGACAGTTGATATAAATATTCTGATATAGTTTATACAAGTATGTTACACTTAGTTTATAATATATGTTATAGTCCGTGTGAAACTCTGAAAATGCAATGTCCCAGGCTGCTTTTGTGATTGTTCTTGGTTCCATTGTGCCAGGCAAGCTCAATCAGTTATTTTAAAGACAACATACTGTTGTTGCTGGTTCCTCTCCCCTCCGCTGCCAGCTCCTGTTGATCCTTTACACACAGTACCTGTTAGACATTGATCAGTTGAAGCTAATAATGCTGCTCGTTGGGACGCCAGGGCCTGAGCTCTTGATGAAAATCTCCTCAGAGTCTGTGAGTTATACACATCGTTATTATGCTACAAGGTCTTTGGTTGCTTAAATTGCTAAAGGGCCTGATAATTATTTGTTTTTGCATCAATTTGTGAAGTGTGTTTATAATCTTCAACAACCATTTGACATGTTTACATCCTCTTAAATCTCTGTCAAATGCAACACCTGTTTTGATTTAAACTAATTCTTCACCCTTCTCAGGGCTCTACAGTGCGGCCATTTTACTCCAACTTGCGCCTAAATATTTTGCTGTGCGACCTGTATTTTTTTTATGTAGGAGCACCAGTGAGCCTAGAAAAATGACAAATTATATCTGTATTCCCCAAAAATATTTTTCATTGTGCTCCTACATTTTTTGAAACAAATAAAGGTCAGCGTAGAGCCCTGCTTCTATGTTCAAAGCTTGGGTTTCACTGCTATGGTTGATTAACTTGACTTTCTCCTGACTAATTGAACGTTCTCTTCTCTACCATAACCTCAAGCATGCTACCAATCACACAGTACCTGTTAGTACCTCAAGCATGCTACCAATCTGCCTTACACACATCTTTACAATCTCACCCTCTTTTGTTAGCTTTCCCTACAAAGATGGCACTATTCCCTTTTTGCACAGCGTCTTAGGAGTTGAGCCATACCATAAAACTCCTAGAGAAGACTGTTAGCCCGCTGAGCTAAAGCCTAGGCCAGAAAGCCAGGCATAAGCTCGGGAGCTAACACGAGTCATCAGGTCTCCCACTGACTAGCTGTTTATCAACTCACCGTCTTTGCTATACTGCTGTCTGTACTGATACCCCTTGACCCGTACCTGATAGATATAAACCAGCTTCAGCAGATAATGTGTCTGACTGGAACGCCCCCAGCCTCTCTAATAAGCAGGATGCCAAGCCACGAGGTGAGCAGGACCAAATTACTCAATTCAATGCATTCTCTATGGGGCCAAGCGAGGATTCGAACACAAGTCCTCGAACCTGCGTGCCACAAGACTGTTAGCCCCAGGGTTGGGGTAAATTCCATGTCAATTCAGGAAGTAAACTGAAAATTGCACTTTTACTTCCTGAGTTGACAGAATTGACCCCAACCCTGGTTAGTACGAACCACCGCCGTTACATCTAGCCCAGAGCAAAGCCACATACCGAGGGCCCCAATATTACAACCTCCTTAGAGGATATTTGCTCCCACATAAAGAGGAAGTAGACAAAAAAAACATGTAACATTTGATATTTTGACCTTTCTGCTTTTTTAGACTTGTAGGTTTCAATTTCCTACTACCCACACCACTCTATTGTAACCACTGAGTGGCATCTGATGCCTGCTGCACGTCAATGCAAGTCCAGCAGCAACTACTCTCTTGCCTTCTAATGTTTTGGTTTGCCATAGCAGTGTTGTATAAGGTATTAATATGCCTAGAATTGCACACTAACAAACTATGGCACATTGCCTGAACCATAATCTGTTTGAATTGAAACACTTCCTCCTCTGACAACAGTGTGGTAAGGAAAGTAGGAACTGAAATTGACAGAATTGTTGAAGTGTGAACTACTACATTATAAGACTGCAGCCAAATAAAGAAACAATACTCCGTTATAATACTCTTATTCTCCTATTGCTTTCCCTCTCTGCACATTCACCAAATCTGCTATTAAACCCTTTCTTGCCAGTGCTGATAATTAATCCCCACTTGCCAATGCTGCCATGTGACTATGGTTGGGAGTAAATCTACTCGCATTTCTCCTGATGAGGGCCTCTCTAATGCTTGTCTGCATCCCAAATGGCAGTCTATTCCTCTTTTATAGTGCACAGTCACAAGTGGGTACATGGGGACTGTTGTGCCATTTGGGACATGCCCTTGTCTAATATGGGACTAACTAATCTTTACTCTCTGAATACAAGATTAGTGGCTGTTTTCCCAGACCCAGATTAAGACATTTTTTTTTTTGTTGCCCAGAATAAGTTGCCTTAATCGGGGTCGGGGGAAACCGGCCCTATAACCCCAAAAGAAAAGTGGTCATCTTGTGGCTTTTGAAGTGTGTTCCAAATGGCACCCTATTTTCTACATAGTGCCCTATGGGACCTGGTCAAACGCAGTGCATTATATAGGTAATTGGGTGATGTTTTAGATGCCAGCCCTGTTTTGCGTTCTATTGGCCTTTGACCTCCCATCTCTTTACTCCCATTGGTTTACAGGCAAGGAACTACATCAACTCCTTGCCTCCGATGCCTAAGAGGAATTTTTCTGACGTGTTCATCGGCGCCAACCCACAAGGTAGTGTTGGAAGCATTTTACACTCAAAACACATAGCTGTAAATCAGATCCCAAGATGTTATAGTTTGTGATGCTAATGAGAGGGAGGAGTTCTAAGACGGCCTGCTGCAGCCGTTTTCAAAAAGCATCTTAGAGTAGGTGCTTATCTAGGTTCCCCCTGTCCATACAATCTTTTATTGATTTATGACCAAAAATGGAAAAAAATAATCCTATAACAGCACTCCTACTACACTGAGAGTCTCTGTGAATATGGACCCTGTTGATGAGGATTATGTTTTTCTGCTTGTAGCTGTGGACCTGCTGGAGAAGATGTTGGTTCTGGACACCGATAAGAGGATCACGGCTGCCCAGGCTCTGGCCCACCCCTACTTCTCCCAGTACCATGACCCAGACGACGAACCCGAGGCTGACCCCTACGACCAGAGCTTTGAGAGCCGCTTGCTTGAGATCGAGGAATGGAAACGTATGTTGAATGGAATACACAGGGTCATTATGAGATGATTTTAAGACCTTCTAAAGGGGTTATACATGCTCATGACAAGTCTTGCAATGAATGCATTATTATAACAGCATCATGCATTATACCTGAATGCTTTAAGTAAAATGTGACCAAACCTTTTGTCCATCTTGCAAAATAAATGTATTTTGCTCTGCTCTGCTCACACCCCCTCGGACAGCTCTGAAACACTTGCAAAACACATTTCTCTCTCTCTCTCTCTCCTCACAGGGCTGACCTTTGAGGCAGTGTGTGATTTTGAACCACCCATCTTCGATGGAAACGACATGGAATCGTGATTGGGCGATGTGATTTCTACTAGCCCCTCCCCCGTCACCTCCACAACTCTATCACTGAGGTTCCCTCTTATCATACGACCTTTTGGAAAAACAATATCATAATCTGAGTGCCTACAAACGTTTGTCTATTGTTAGTTATATTTCTTAAGCTCGCACTCTCTCTCCCACCATTTTGACTCAGTAAGGTGTTGCCAGGGAAACGTTACAAAAATAGCCTGGTCCCAGATTCGTTGGTGCTTTGGCATGACAATGGCCATGGGAGTTGGCTGTACAGCCCAAACAGATATGGGACCAGGCTTGACCTACAATGGAGGATAGGAGAGCGACATTTTAAGAGCTGTTAAGTCGGTGTTAACTAATACTGATTGTATGTGTCTACTGCAGTGTGTTTTCAATGGAGAAACGGAGGCAAGCAGAAACCAACCACTAATACCATTATTGGTCCATTTCTGAAACATGTCATGCTACTTTTATTGTCTCTACATGTGCATCCGAAATGGCACCCTATTACCTATTTAGTGCACTACTTTTGACCAGGGCTCTATATAGGGAATAGGGTGCCATTTGGAATAAAGCCTATATTTGAACTCGTTTTGTATTCCTCCTTCAGAAGTTGTTGTTATTATTATGAAACTGTTGCTCACCACTGTATTCTATTTGCTCACCACTGTATTCTATTTGCTCACCACTATGATATTCAAAAGAAATGAGATGCTGAATTGAAACGTCCAGGAAAATGTGTTCTGATTTGAATCATTTTAATGTTGTGTATCATCTGAAATGTGGAATAATGCGTCTGTCACTCGCACTCTGCCAATCTACCAATCACAGCGTTTGCGTCACAGACTCCCAGGCTTTGTTTTCCTGTCAATCACAGCGTTAGTGTCAGACTCCCAGGCGCTTCAGAAACCGTTGATGGATCTGCTTTACTGGATCTGTTATATGACGTAGGTTGTGTCCCTAATGGCACATTACTGCCTATATAGTGCAGTACTAAATGCGGAAAACACATATTTCAGTTGAATGCATTCAGTTGTACAACTGACAAGGTATCCCTCTCCTTCCTTTTGACCAGGGCCCATAGGCTTATGGTCAAAAGTAGTGCACTATATAGGGAGACATTTGGGACAGACACAAAGGAGATTTGTTCTATTCTTCAACATTGTTATGAATTTAAGAAATTGTTTTAATCTACCACATTGCAGATTAATCCCCCCCCCCCCCCCCCCCCCCTTTCGGTTACTGGCCCAACGCTCTTAACCGCTAGGCTACCTGCCGCCCATTTAGTGCTCACAAACCGTAAAATCATTATTCAGTTCATTGAATACCCACATGATGTAATTCTGGCAGATTCAGACAATTTGTTGTTTAATAAATGTCTTTATTATAAGTGGCTTCCTCTCGTCCTCTCATCTCCTTGATCTGCACTGAGGTGAAGGAGCTGGACAGGGGTCAACCATATTGCTTTTCAGAACAGAACTGTGCAGATGAAGGACAGAATGGAAGGAAGCCACACTAGACTATTGAGATACAGCCCCAGTCAGAATAAATAACCATGATAGCCCCAGGAACTAGCCTGGTTGAACCAGATTGAATGCTGCACTCCATTGAACAGAGAATTCAATCTGATTTTAGCCACTTTCCCTATTTACACTTTGAAACCAGATGGAGTTGATATGAGCCACTGTGGGTTGTCAATGAATGTGCCAATCAACGTGGCATTAAGTCAACTCAGAAAAATATGTATTTTTGGGTACCAAATCAACTCAAATGTATGTAAATATCTGTTCTATATTTTATTTTTTAATCTTCATGATTTATCTTTTGTGGTTTATCGAATTTAAACAATCTTCATTATCAGCATGTTCGTCATTTGTGTGTGTGTGTGTGTGTGTGTTTTGAATACATGTTAACAGGAGTTTGGCGTGTCACGCTTAAAGCCGCAAAATAGACAAATTAAATTGATGTCAAATAAATGAGGGAATTGCTTAGATATATTTATACTTTGAGGTGGTATTTAAACTGGAGAGAGATACTGTTGTTTATTTCAGCAAAGCCCCATAGAAGACTGACATCTAAGAGTATTTACAGCAGAGTAACTATTAGTATAATGAATGCCTTTGTTTATAAAGAAATAAAGACAGTTATTTTTAAGTAGAGTCTGTTTTGTGCTTTATGTCCTCAAGTCCATAACCTGCATGTGCCAGAAGTCTTCACAAGCTGGATTGTGCATCCACCGACCAAGCTTTAAATATATATTGAATTCATGAAATATGGATGCCTATATAAGGATAGTTATAACCTGTGTTGTTCGAGCCCTGAATGCTGATTTGCTGACAGCTGTGGTATATTCCACGGCTATGACAAAACATGTATTTTTACTGCTCTAAATACATTGGTAATCCCTTTATAATAGCAATAAGGCACATCTGGGTTTGTGGTATATGGCCAATATACCATGACTAATGGCTGTATCCAGGCACTCCGCATTTCGTCTTGTGTAAGAACAGCCCTTAGTCGTGGTATATTGGCCATATACCACACCCCCTCGGGCCTTAATCAAATAACAGCCTCTTTAATAGTCCACTAGGGGTCACACTTCACAAAAGATTGTCTTGTTGTGAGATAACGGTAAAAACGCACAGAATGACCGTTTTTTATATACAATTTACATTTGAGTCATTTAGCAGACGCTCTTATCCAGAGCGACTTACAGTTAGTGAGTGCATACATTTTCATACTGGCCCCCGTGGGAAACGAACCCACAACCCTGGCGTTGCAAGCGCCATGCTCTACCAACTGAGCTACAGGGGACTATAGAAGTCGTAAGTTTACATACACCTTAGCCAAATACATTTAAACTCAGTTTTTCACAATTCCTGACATTTAATCCTAGTAAAAATTCCCTGTTTTAGGTCAGATAGGATCACCACTTTATTTTAAGAATGTGAAATGTCAGAATAATACTAGGGAGAATTATTTATTTCTGCTTTCATCACATTCCCAGTGGGTCAGAAGTTTACATACACTCATTTAGTATTTGGTAGCATTGCCTTTAAATTGTTTAACTTGGGTCAAATGTTTCGGGTAGCCTTCCACAAGCTTCTCACAATAAGTTGGGTGAATTTTGGCCCATTCCTCCTGACAGAGCTGGTGTAACTGAGTCAGGTTTGTAGGCCTCCTTGCTCGCACATGCTTTTTCAGTTCTGCCCACAAATTTTCTATAGGATTGAGGTCAGGGCTTTGTGATGGCCACTCCAATACCCTGACTTTGTTGTCCTTAAGCCATTTTGCCACAACTTTGGAAGTATGCTTGGGGTCATTGTCCATTTGGAAGACCCATTTGCGACCAAGCTTTAACTTCCTGACTGATGTCTTGAGATGTTGCTTCAATATATCCACATAATTTTCCTTCCTCATGATGCCATCTATTTTGTGAAGTGCACCAGTCCCTCCTGCAGCAAAGCACCCCCACAGCATGATGCTGCCACCCCCGTGCTTCACGGTTGGGATGGTGTTCTTCGGCTTGCAAGCGTCTACCTTTTTCCTCCAAACATAATGATGGTCATTATGGCCAAACAGTTCTATTTTTGTTTCATCAGACCAGAGGACATTTCTCCAAAAAGTACGATCTTTGTCCCCATGTGCAGTTGCAAACCGTAGTCTGGCTTTTTTATGGCGGTTTTGGAGCAGTGGCTTCTTCCTTGCTGAGCGGCCTTTCAGGTTATGTCACTATAGGACTCGTTTTACTGTGGATATAGATACTTCCTGTTTCCTCCAGCATCTTCACAAGGTCCTTTGCTGTTGTTATGGGATTGATTTGCACTTTTCACACCAAAGTACGTTCGCTCCTTCCTGAGCGGTATGACGGCTGCGTGGTCCCATGGTGTTTATACTTGCGTACTATTGTTTGTACAGATGAACGTGGTACCTTCAGGCGTTTGGAAATTGCTCCCAAGGATGAACCAGACTTGTGGAGGTCTACAATTTTTTTTCTGAGGTCTTGGCTGATTTATTTTGATTTTCCCATGATGTCAAGCAAAGAGGCACTGAGTTTGAAGGTAGGCCTTGAAATACATCCACAGGTACAACTCCAACTGACTCAAATGATGTCAATTAGCCTATCAGAAGCTTCTAACGCTAAGACATCATTTTCTGGAATTTTCCAAGCTGTTTAAAGGCACAGTCAACTTAGTGTATGTAAACTTCTGAACCACTGGAATTGTGATACAGTGAATTATAAGTGAAATAATCTGTCTGTAAACAATTGTTGGAAAAATGACTTGTGTCATGCACAAAGTAGAGTTTGTTAACAAGAAATTTGTGGAGTGGTTGAAAAACAAATTTTAATGACTCCAACCTAAGTGTATGTAAACTTCCGACTTCAACTGTATATATTTTTCCTTTATACAAACATTTGAAAATAATTATTTTGAAAGACACCTTTTTATTGGCTTTTGGCTGATTTGTTTTACGCTGTGTGACAAACTAAAGATGTGTTGATGAGATATTTATATCTGTCACGAACGTTGTAAGAAGCGGACCAAGGCGCAGCGTGATAGGCGTACATCTTTTAATGAGTACTTTTCACCAACAACAAAACGATACGTGAAGTCTAAAGGTTCACCAACACAAACCTATACAGAACAAGATCCCACAAATAACTAGTGCCAACAGGCTGCCTAAGTATGGTTCCCAATCAGAGACAACGAGAATCAGCTGCCTCTGATTGGGAACCACCCTGGCCAACATAGAAAACACGAACTAGAACAAAAACATATAAACTACAACATAGACACTACACACCCTGGCTCAACTTTTAAGAGTCCCCAGAGCCAGGGCGTGACAATATCATACAGTATGCCATATGACATTCAGGATATTGTAAGCAACAAAATAAAATGTGATTCCCAATAGCAAACGTGCAAGACAGAGTAGATAGCATGGAAAATGACACATATAATACCAAACTCTAATTGTCTTGATTTACATTTCTGTTCAAAGATGGTTTTGGGTACTTTTCCGTTGTTATGACTTTGCTGTAATTCAACAGGCTGACACCATGGAGATTTGAGGGGAACTCACAGCTGAATTCAGCCACGCCGGGGTCTGGAAAAGTCACGTTAGTCCTGTTCAGCCACGTCAGAAAGTCCTTCAGGCCACAGTCACAGTGGAATCGATTCCTATATAAGTTGATCCAGCTGAGAGAACTGAAAGCCGCTGGGTCAGGAGAGGAGAGGAAATTGTAAGATAGGTCAACTGTTTTGAGACTCTCTGGGAAAATGTCTGGTTGGAGGTATGTGAGAGAGTTGAAGCTGAGATCCATCTCTTCCAGAGAGACGAGACCTTTGAATATGCCATCTGGGAGAGCCCGCAGGGAGTTAAAGCTTAAATCCAGACTAAAAAGCTTGATAAGATTTTCAAATACATCCAAACACTCTCCATGTGCCCATAACATCTGCAGGGCGATGTTCCTTAGCTCCAGCAGCTTCAGAGAGTTTACAGCAGGCACTGAAATATTACTGCTAAAGGTGCACCACTTTATGTAGTTGTTACCATACCAGATACGCTC